GTAGAGTAATACAAGCTATTGCCACCATATTACTACTACACTTTGATCTTAGCCAAAAGGCTGTCTCTTATTCAGTAAACCAATTTCTATGGAGTAATACAAGCCCTTGCTAACATATCTCTGTTCATTACATGTATCCACCTATCATACCAGTTATAGGTTTACTCATGTCAGAATATTTGAGGAACAAGTTGATCCGCAGACTGACAGATCCCCAGATCAAAAATGGCTGAACTTCATTAAAGCAGAGCCAACTCATCTGCTGATGGCTTCCCCGACTCGGCACACGCCACTGAACGGATTAAATCCTAGCTCTGTGGTTTAATTGCTAGACCCCTGCATGGAAGGCACGAGTGCAGGTGGAGAGACCCATCAGCAGATTAGTCGGCTCTGCTTTAATGAAGGTCAGCCATATTTGATATGCTGATCTGTTAGAGAGCATTTAAAACAGCAGACTTATAGATGCGCAGGTTCAAATATGGCAACCCACTAAATAGTTTGCCTCTGAATTCCCGAGTAGACACTGAACAGACTCCCAGCGGGGATTACGCAATAAGCATTCAAGTGGATCGGCCATATTTGATCCGTGGATCTGTTAGTCCGCTGTTCTGAATGCGCTCTCAGTCTACAGATCAACTAGTTCTGAACGCCCTCAATGAGACCATTCCTGGCTTATGACCTGGTTTGGCCAACTTTTCTGGTCTAGGCAGTGATGGATACTCTTGCTAGTTCACGGATCCATACACGGATGGGGTGAATAAGCTGATGTGTGCTCAATGTTTTATTTATTTATTTCAGTTTTATTTATATGGGTTCTATTCATAGCACACACACAGACAGCAACACAGACCCATATACCTTGATTGCTTGTCTGTGTTTCTATGCAAGTCAATATATTTGAAAGCAACAAAATGATGTGTTTGCATTGTTTCTATTCCAGTGCAAGTTGGGAGATAGCCTTTAATGTTTTTAGCATTATGTTCAATAAAATAATTCTTTTGTTTCTTAGGGCTCTTTACCAATGAAACTATTAATCTGTGAAGATAGCTCCAACTCATCTTGTTGCCAGTATACTGCCAGCTTCATACTTATAACATACTACCAGCTTTTTTCTGTACGCGACGTAACGCTAGGAGGCGTGTTAATCTGTTAAACTGATTGTATTCAGTGAGTCCCCGCGGAATTGGATCCATCTGCAGAGAGGGATAGTTTCAACTGGAATGAGGCAAGCCCTTAATCAAACTCAATCACATCATTCATGACTTTTGTATTCTCCTTCTCGTTTTACCAACCTTCAAATTTGCTATCTTCAACAGATCTTCTTATCACTCAATCCAATGATGTAGATACCAGGTTTGTCTACAAGAAATGATAAACAAAAAATCCTGTTATAAACAACTAAAAAAATTATGACAAAAATACAATGAATCTCCAGTAAAGAGTCAAGGCAGCGTATACACTTCACTAAATACAAGAGATTATATTACACTAAAAATAATAATTGAAGATTTTTTAATTTATTATTGACATGGTGCACAATTAACTTACGTGTCTGGCTATATGAAAGATGAATGCCAACAACACCTTAGACAGATCCAGCATGTATTGGCAAAATGATGTATTACATGCATGCACATATTCCCACCCGCATACAACCAAACACACACACACACACACACACACACACACACACACACACACACACACAGAACAAGACTAAATCTGTATTAAAACCTACTGATGAATTAAACCAACAAAACTTGTATTAAGTAACTAGAATGTGGTATAAACTTAGTGCCCCCTATTTATATCAGTAATGGATCATTCCAAGACCGTACTACTGGTAACTGTGGATCAATCTATCTCCAAGGGGATTCTCGCTAAATTGCAATCAACTTAAGCAGCTTAGATGTGTGTCATGCCTACTGAAGCTGCTAGAGGGTAATTAATTATCGTTTAGCAGCTTCAATAGGCGTGTCAGACATCTAAGCCGCTTAAGCTGAAAGCAATTTAGAGAAAAACCCATGGGAGATGGATCGATCCTGTTAAATCGATCTACGTATGGGAACCTAATCTAAAACACAGCTCTGCACAGGTTTCATTTGTTTGAGAGCAAGCACAGGAAGGGGTATAGCAGAGAACATCAATGTATCAGACATGAGCCTGAGTTTAAAAAAAAAAACCTCTGCACATTTATCATTAGACCCAACACCTAACTTTGACGAATCTCAGGAACCATCAGAAATGAATTAAAAAACACGGAATTTCGCTTTTCTGAAGAAAAAGCTCATATCTGATGTACAGTATATACGTACACTTAATCTAAGAAATGGACTGAATGAGCATGCAGTTCTAGAATTCTACAACCTTTTGTTGTGGTTATGAGAGAAAAACAACAAGGTTGTCACCATTTTATAGGTTGACAAACAACATAACTGGACGAAATTGTCAATGATCGATTAGTTTGTTGTCATTAAAATGAAGTATGGTATGCAACACAAACAGCCCTGTTTTTGCAGTTGTCCCGAGTCAATAGCACAGGAGAGCTATAAAACAAAGACGAGCTCTAAGCTCTAGCAATTGACTTTAATAAATGCAATCACTTGATATCTGCTCCCTGAATGGCTAATGATAACTATATATATCAATTAGTTCAATTTAGTTATATCTTTTACACTGCTAGGTTTCTATATTGCTTCAAATTTCACTGTATGGGTGCACAGCCAAAAGTAACTAAGGAAATATATATATAGCATATATATATATATATATATATATATATATATATATATATATATATATATATATATATATATATAGCATATAGCATATAGCAAACACATAACCATCAAATTACCTCTGATTTAAAGCCGAATTTTATTATATATATATATTAATTTGTTAAAAAAGAGAAAAAGCAAAACAGAAAACCACCACCCGACGGCTATGCTATTCAACCAACTGAATCGACTTCTAAATAATGAACCAGTCCTCCTGATGCATTATGAGGACGCAGACGGAGAAAACAAAATCAATAATACACCATTGGCGTCCAGTCAACATGCTTTCCTGCATATGCATTGCATAACTCCTCAAGCTTTACCATTAAGTTTGTGTTAAGAATAAAGTCATTTTTCTTCAATCAACAGCTAATATCTTCAGCTTATATTATCTCCAGCATTTCGATCTCTCTCAGAGCATCTTCATCAGGCAATGAGGCTATCCAGGCCAATAATCTCTATCCAGCCTTAGCTTGTGTTATTTTCATGCTTCAGTTGGAAATTTATAGGAGTCTATAACTCAGATCAGTCTAGTCAATATTTCCCATTGTATAACGTTAGCCCCGGCTCTAGGTATATTAGCAACAATTAAGATTTCAGACGGCTCTTATGGCGTAGTAAGCATGATGCGTCTGTATGCTACATTAAATCAATTAATGGATTTCTTTTTCTATCCTTATTGCTTCCACTCGATCGAGGGAATAGATGAGTGTGTTATTCATAATGGTGTAATTTGGTATACAGTAGAAGTCTATGATCTGATATTCCTGCCCATGAAACTATGCTTAGTTGATTTATGGATATTATACTGCTATTATTATGAGGAAGGAATCCAAGCAGAAAGAATCACTGAATAGGATACATACTTCAATTATTTTAGTACAGTTCAGAATATGGTTTAATATGCAACACTTTATGCTGGCAGTAGCATACAAATGTTTACAAAAAGCCCTTTATTTTGACATTTGAATCGGATACGTTTTAAGAGAATAAAAAAAATCTTTTACTGGTGATTTATAGAGATTTTTGCATGTGCAAAATTCAAAATCAGGAAAATATATCATTTGCTATATGACTTTTGTATCAAGTATTGATTTGTTAAAAGCCTCTCTGGAAATAATGTAATAGTTATCTACTGGCATTTGTGTGACATAACTACAGAGCACGAAAGCACTGAAAACCACCCAAGGGCAAGAATGAATAAAAGGGCTTTTGATTACTTTTCTAGAGTAAATGACAAAGACAAATAAGAAAAAGTTATTATTACTAAAATCTTAATATCACCGTTGTATATTTACAAACTAGATTGAAATTTCTTGAAACAAGTAGTTAACTTGATGGGATTTGTGATTCTAAATATAAATAAATTCACATTCGTTTATTTTACCAATGTACCCTTCAACAACTAAAGAGACATTTGGGGTATATAATTGAGCTGTTTCTATAATATACATTTCAATTTTTACACCAGACACTAAGGTAGAGTGAAATTAAAGTTCAATCCCTTGTTCTTCAGGGTGAATCAACTCAAGGCTGAGCTCGTGAACCTAGAAATCCTACATTTAGACTGCTCTGTTGGCCCCCAAGTACAACATAACCTTCAGAGTTATCTTCTGTAACCATTCATAAAGACTCTCTATATCTACAAGGTATGTCATTTAGTACTACTTCAATTTATCCGAGAAAAAAAATCGAAAACTTACCGCGTGTAAGGTCAACTTTCTTGGTTTCCTGCGAATGACGTCATGGATTTCCGTGTATTGAATAATACGTCATCAAAACGGCGGGAAAATACACATGTCTGGACTTGAGAGATATTGATCGTATAACCCATAATAATAAGTACAAAAACAGAGTGCCATCGAATTATAGCTGGCACACTTCACAACTTACTATGCCTGGATCAAGAAGAAAAGCAGGTAAGACTCATCTATTTAAAAATCAAATCAGACTACAACACTTTCTTTTTGAATTTTTGCGGTAGCCAGACACTGGCCCTGCCATTTGTAAACACTAGTCAAAAACCAGCTTCTTTTCCTCCGATTGCTGAAAGTTTATCACCCCACCCCCACCCCCACCCCATGGTTGGTGGAAGTAGCATAAGGTCAATAGAATGCACCATAACCTCAATGTAACATTCAGTATACAAGTTCAACTTTTTTAATTGAAATTTCTGACTCGGGATTGTACTGTATGTAGTGCACTGCATAGGACCCCCCCCCCCACCCCCACACACACACACACTCACTCACACTGTTAAATGAAAGTATGCACGTAGGCAAAAAAAAAAAAACGTTGAAAAACATCTTAATCTTATGCCCCTTTGCATTTTCAACCACACCTTCCAAACATTTAAACCTCATTTAAAATACTTGTACTTGATTCTTAGCCTCCAGTCCAGGGGATGCTGAACCCAGTACCAAGCGGGTGAAGACAGAATCTGTGATAGGTGGCGTCACTGTCCAGTGGGAGGTTGAGGACAGGAAGAACACATGGATGTCATACCCTGCCAGTCAGCAAGGAGAGATTACTGAGGGGTTTAATAATAAGGAGAAGCAGGTGTGTATTTTAAAATGTTTAAAATGGACTGAGATGATTAAAGATTATGTGTTTCTATGCAGTCTTTAATATTGGTGAACGACACGTAGAGCCTTTAGAGCTTTATTAATTATTTAATTTATTTAGTTATATTTTTTAAAATAGGAATTAGCATATATCACAAAATTACATTCTTATTAGTGAGATTTTTGGGAAGTTCATAAACTGGTCAGAGGAACCAAACTTTTTGATTTTTTAAAAAGATTTTTTTTAAAATTTTATTAGCATCAATATCACTTTCATTAATCTGGGAAACAACAAATTTTGACTGTTTATCTTTCAAATTGATGTATTATTTTGACAATAGGTGGCACTTGTTGATGCAAAGGGTGATGAAGTGACAGTGCTGTTTGATAAAATGACGCAGAAGAGCAAAAAGACGGGATGGGAGAAGAGGATTCACTGCGCAGTACAGGAGAAAGAAGGGACAGGTAATAGGAAGTAATGGGATTTTTATTCTTAGTGTAAAAATGTTAAGATCTTTGTGATTCAAGTTGATATTTGACTTGGTTATGCCTGGGTCAGAACATTTAAATCACTGGAAAATCAATGATTTTGGAGATGTGGTATTGATGCCCACTGAAGTTCATATACAGAATGTATTTGGGTTCAGTGCATTGAATGTACGGAAAAGATACTGTTAATATTGAGAATTGAGGGAGAAGATACATAAAATGATTTCAAATTTAAAAGATTTCTGTTTAGTTTATTGTGATCAATGTCTGTATGATCATCAGTATGAAGTTTTTCTTTTTTTTTTCTTTAAATTTCCATCAGGTTTTATAGTGTAAGTGAGGTTCTTTCAGGTAAAAATCCCATTGTTCAGTTATTTTCCTTAGATTTTTCATACCAGTTAATCTTTGACTATTTCAGATTTCTACACATGGCAATGGAAAGATGATAAAAACCATTGGAGTTTCTTTGGTGTTGATATCAGTGTCAAGCTCGAAAAATCATTCCAGAGTCAGGACGACACTGTTTCATTAACAATAGCAAATAAATCATATACAGTGGATATAAAAAAGATGGAACAGAAAAATGATGCTACAGGGTTCTCCAGAAAGATTGCAAGACAGATTTCAGGTCAGTTAGTTTTGTGTAATTAGAAAACTTGATGATTATAAAGTTTATACTGAATAATTGTGGTAAAGTTATATTTAAATATTGCCGACAGGCTCGAGGAGCAATCTTTGGATTGTAATTTTATCAAACAAAAATATAAAAGCTGATTTTTTTTTTGTTGACTGCATCAAAATTGAAAAAGTAACCCATGAAGTCTGTACATTTAACAGTTTTGCTTTTTTTAATATAGTCTTTGCAGTTGCAAAATATAGACATTTTACAATTTCTGAATAGATACATCTCCATCATGTGGTTAAAAAGTGATCAAAAGTGCAGGGGCAGATCCATGTTTTCTGACAGTCTCCCAAATTGTATTTTGTTGATCCATCCTCCATTTTTGACTGTCTTCCGACACGTCAGATAAAATGAGATGTCTGTCAATGTAAACTTGAAAATTTGACCGTCTTCTGGAAGACCCAGAAGACGGCCTCAGTCTGCCCCTGTTAATTGCCCTCCCCTCCAGTAAAAATAGAAAGAAATATAGAAACAGATCATTTATCGAGAGATATTTGATTGATATTGTCCATATAATTGTATCATAGATCCTGCATATATATAATGTTCTATTAAGAATTTATTTTAACTGCAGATGCTACAGCATTACCAGAACCACCACCATCAGTCAAAGCAGCCATTGTTGCAAAGCCTTCTGGGAAGAGGAAAGCTGCAGAGAATGATGTCGATGAGACGGGGGATGCAATGCCTGCTGGAAAAAAAGGGAGGTCGGGGCACAGTGCAGTTAAACAAGAGAAAGAAGCAGCATCAGCAAAACCTTCCACGTGTAAATTTTTTTTTTTGTCTAAACATACATTTAAACAAGATATTTTGGAGACAATTTTTTATCTGTATAAAACTGATGATAGATTTAGTGATTGATTATGTTTTTGATATAGGATTTTGATATAACATTTTAAATTATAAAAAGTGTATATTGTAAAAATATTTCATCGGGATATTTTTATCAAAATATATTTGTAATGAATTCGCCAAAGACAGAAAATAAAGCACTGGAAATGACTGAATTAAAATAAAATGCCTGTAAATATCACCTTTCCAGCAAAGACGGTCCTGTTAAAAGGCAAGGCCCCGGTGGACCCAGAGTGCGTCCAGAAAGTAGGCAAGGCTCATGTGTACTACGAGGGCAGTGATGTCTATGATTGTATGCTGAACCAGGTGAGAGAAAAGATCCAATAGAACTGTTGTAGTTTTAGCACCTGTTTATTTTGCAAACAGATTATGGGATGCTGTTGTTAGCAAATTCTGAAAAAATTTTTAAGGCTCTCTGCCATATTTTATACATGTATGCTTTAACCAACAAAGTATACACACACTTATAAGTTTGTTCTGTGATTTTATGTTTATCTGTTTTACATATGTGTGCACAATGTGCACATCATTGTATTATGCAAATTGAATTGTACAATTGAACATGAAATGAAACCTCTAGCATAGAACTGGAGATGTAATGTATTTTCCCAAAAGATATCCACCCCACACAAGTCTCAGTGCTCCTTTGAAGAGGAACAATCCATACACCTAAGAAATTTCTTGCATCTCATATGTAATTTAATTTTTGGAGTGAGCAATTCATTGTATATTTTCTCTTGTTTTTTTCAGACAAACCTTTCAAACAACAACAACAAGTATTACCTGTGTCAGCTGCTGCAGGATGATGGGAAGAAGTCGTACAGCGTGTGGTTCCGCTGGGGTCGCGTTGGGAAGAAAGGACAGAACTCTCTCTTCCCGTGTGGACCAGACCTGGAGGAGGCAAAGAGCATCTTCTGCACAAAGTGAGCGTTGATTTTTACTTTTGGTAATAAGTTACGGTAATGACTTGATCTTTTGAATGGGCAACAATGGGAACAATGCAAAATTTCTTTGTTGACAGCAACTAAATGAAAATTAGTAGTGTGTGGTACTTTGCCTTATTTTGATAGTTGTGTTTTGTGTATCTTATTTTTCAGATTTCATGACAAAACCAAAAACGAATGGTCTATGAGAGACAAATTCCAGAAAGTCCCTGGAAAATATGACCTCATCAAGATGGACTATAATGCTTCTGTAAGTATATTTACAGGGGTGAGATTTTTCCAACTATTGACGGATTTTGGACTTTTTGGGAGCCAAACATTTCATTGGCCTAGAGGGTCTGAGGCACCCCAAGCCAATATTTGCTGACTTTTTCACCAAACGGCAGTCTCATTCCTGTATTTGGCTTCAAAATGAGCCAGGGCTTGACACTAACTTTTTTCAATACTGGTCGGAGATATCAATAAATATTGCAAGGGTTATTTGGCACATGACATTTTACTTGCTCTTTGGGCAAGTGACCCCAGCGATTCAATGGACCTAAGTCAGTTTTCAGTGGCCCAGGGCCAGTGGGCCACCCTTACTGTCGAGCCCTGTGAGCCCTTGTTGCCTAGCTAAAGCAGTTGGTAGATCACAGAGAGGAAAGTTTATATTTTCCTGTAAAATTTGAAATGTCAGAATATCTGCTAACTTTTGGCTTTTAGGTCAAGGACACATTCAAATATTTGACAATGTTTATTTATCTTTCTATAAAACATTTGATATATGTCTTCCAGTTGTGACCATTTGTACTCTAAAGCAGTAACTGGAATCGAATGAAAAAGAAAAAATGCTGATTTTTAAAGATTAAAACAATCCTTTAACAGATGTAGTTTGATGAATAACATAAAACAATCATTTGTTAAGCAACATTTGCATGGGATTAGGATTTTAAAAAAGTAAGTTAAAATATTGAAATTTCTGAAAAATACTAACTGGTTTTCCTCACACAGAAGGAATGATAACTATTGCTGCTGCAGCAAAAACAATTATTTGTTATCCTCATTTATCCTTGTAGGATGAGACAGACTCGGGTAAAAAGAAACCCGAGAAGCAAGAAAAAGTTCCTCCGTCCAAACTTGACCCCCGTGTCCAGAACCTGGTCAACTTGATCTGTGACATCAAGACTATGGAGGATGCTGTCCTGGAGATGAAATATGATGCACAGAAGGCACCTTTAGGTAAGTTAGGCAGGGGCGCAGGGGTCAAAATGTTTAGAAAATCATACTTTCCCTGCCGGGAAAGTCACTTTGTATATTACTTTCCCTGCAAGAAAGTAGCTTTCCCTGACAACCAAATCATGAAAACCAATTTCCCTGATATTAAATTACATAATTTTTCATATGATGATGATATATCAAGGAAAGAACATATTTTAGAGAAATGTATGTTTATTGATATGAAATAAACGAACATGACGTCCATATATATATATATAGTGTTTGTGGCAATAACTGGGTATATTTTTAAACATTAATAATAATGTGACTGAAATCTACCAAATACACATACTCACGAAAAAAAAAACCTGTGACAGATCAAGAACTTGTCTACTACTCCACACGTCTTGAAAAAACGTAACATGCTTAATGAAGGGTCTACTGTACCTAATCATCATCATCA